GCCACGCAGATTCTATCCTATCCATTTAACACTTCGATCCGTAGCTGCCCTCGATCGCTCTGTACATCGCTCTATCTAAATATAAATCAAGCGAAATGAAACGGCTCGCGCCATTGCCGACGCCGATCGAAATTAGAATCTCCATTCCGCCGAGTTTCTCTTCTAAGGTTAATGTCATAATTGCGCACGCACGATGCATAATCGAAAGGCATGCCTCGATCGCCCGCTTTCTTCGACCACTCTTGAGCCGATCTCTTGAGAAACTCTCTCGGCGAACGATACACCATATTTCGATCGAGTATTCCACGTAACCGTTACAATAATTAATCTTCGATAATGTTTCTCATTGATCGCCGTCGATAGATGTAATCTCGTTCATATTGTATCGGGATTGTATCGATCGAATTTTCACCACACTTTTAGTTCCGCAACGGAGACCACGCAACGAGCCGAGTATTTCCTCGTGTATCATTTATATCGTATAAAATGAAAATTCCTCTTTGAATACCACGAATTCCAGAATCGCGTGTTCTCAGGATACTGTGGATCCCAGTTGCACAGGAACCGTGTGTATTTCTGGAAGAGATCAAAGAAGCGAGGGAAAAGAGAGAATATATCCATGGAATCTTTGTAATAACCGGTACGCGTATCGTGATTGAACGCAATTTTACAGACGCTGACACACATTCCTCCACATTGTGCATAACTGTGCATCGTTCGATTTAAAATTTCGCGTTTCTTTTCTTCCTTTTTTTTTTTTTTAAGTTATTAGATCATCTAGGATGAAGAGGTGGCGGTTAAACGATCGGCTCAACGAGCGCAGGATGTTCTTTTAGTCGGAGAAACTAAGAAAACTGTCACAATCATCTATTCCCTTTAACGAAATTATGTAGAAGAACGGTTATATATCTCCTGTATTAATAAAGTATAAAATCACACTTTCCTAAAATACAATTTGTTCAAAATTTTCTAACCTTGTAGAGTACGAAAAATTGTTTAACAATTCGCAAGTTAACAAAGAATAGAATAGCGTGATTACCTTTACACGTTGATAATGTCGCGATAATAACTTACGTGTGACATAAAATATATTTATGTTGATTAATATACGAATAGATTCTAGAAATAGGGTCGACTTTTGCTCGAGCCAAGTTTTAATTAGTCTCGTTCTTTTAAGCGCAACAATATCCAGACAAATGCAAAAGATATACGATCGTTCTTTAATTTCATTAAAGAAATTATCGAATGTTTATTTCATTCGCTTTTTCTACATCCACTATCTGTAATATAATATCTTTGAGATATTTATATTAGCTTTCGAGGGTTGTCCTCACTCTGAAGACGAATCGTTTCAGATAAATTTCAAACCGTAAAATCACACCATCGCTTCAGTCGATATTTTTTTATATATTCTTGATTAAAAAAAAAAAAAAAACTGTCATGAATGCAGCGATTGCCCTCGTTTCACCGACTCCTGCCGACAACGAGTATCATCACACGTCTCGCGTGTGTCGATTCACGAGACTCGAAAGTTCACCTGTGCCCCGCGAGGCCTCGTTTCACGCGGAGACGACGAGGAGGAGGACGATCATCGACAGAACCCGCGCTTTCCAGCCGACTTTTATCGAGGATACGACGGAGAAAATCCGCCCGTTCCAAGATTTCTCGCGCGCTTCATCCCGCCGATTAATGAAGCGAAGAATTAATCGCCGCCTTTCAAATCCCATCATTCGATTGCGACGACAGTTCAATCGAGCGACCGTCGAGCGATTTTCCTTCCATCCCCGATCCTCCTCCTCTCCTCCTCTCCCACCATCACTTCGAGATTTGCTTTCCTTAGAAATGACGGTTGCAAAATGCGTTGCACCATTGACGCGATTATGCAAACGATATTAGACCTCTTATGTTATTTGATTGATCGAGAAAGTCTGTCGATAAATTCCGTTTTATCGCCAATTTCGATAATTACGATAAATTCCGTTTGATCGTTTTCATTTAAATCGAAGGCAACTGGAACTCACGCAGAAATATAAGCTGCAAATCAAAAATTCATTTCAATCGTCTTTTTCTGTAATCGAATTCTAAATAAGGAAAATACGTAAGAGATATTAATCGAGAATTTAATGCAATTTTTTTTATGGCTCGACATCATATTTCTTACATCAACTCCAAAAGTCGAATTAAAATGTTTAAAATGTCTAATTTTTAGTAAAGACTGAATTGTTGTTATATTTGTTATATTTCTCCAGTTTACACAATTTTAATTTCTTGTTAGTATCGTTATATTAAGATGAAAACTTCCTTTTCGATCTATCTTGTAAATGAATTAAAAAGTTGTTGCCAGATAAAAGAAAAAAGAAAACAATTAAGGAGTGCAAAAGAGTTAAAGGATGAATTTGAAAGAGAAGCTTCAGAAATTTAGAAATATCCATTTCCACATCCATTCAAGACGAGATTGCGAAAGCAAAAACTATCATCGAATCGTATTATTTACCTAACGATAACAATATGAGAATCGCTGCTCGGCCTGTATTTACAATTGCGAATCTGCAACCTGTGACAGGCTGTATCGTGTCCCGATGCGTAACGAGGAAGCGATTTAGGTACTCGTAGATTAAATCGTGCACCAGCCTTGTCGAGACTGTTTACAAGCGTGTCCCGTAAACACTCGCGTTCGAGGAACCATTTACCTAGCGAAGAATTCCATTTCGTGTCCATGGCAGTGAGTCTTCCCTAAACGGAGCAACTAACGTACAGGTTAGTTCCTTTTTCCTATTCTCTTCGATCGATCTCGAGTCACGCATCGGTTGCATCGAATCGAATTTTTGCAACCTCGAAGCGAAACGATACACGAAGGACGATCTCCACGACGATCCATAAACGATACGATACGATTTGTACACGGAACGAAACGAGTCGTCACAATTTCGCGCGTAGCATCGCGCATCGCACAACCCGTGAATGGTTGTGAACGACAGTTATGCGTGTACAACATTCTCGTTACACCAGGCTCGAGCTAACGGCTCATAGAGAAGGTTACAATTACCTCGGGGCGACAGCTGTTCCGTGAAATAAAGGAAACGACATTGTCCCCGGTGGAAACGTCATACGCGGTGAATTTATCGAGGAAAATTAGCCAGTGTCTGATCAATCTTTATGCTTTCGAGGAGAAAGGTGTTAAAGGTGTTCGTATTAATCTTTGGAAGGGAATGGAGTGGGTGGAGAGTGATACAAAATTTTCTCTCTGCGTGGAAAGTGATCGTATATGTACTTTAAGATCACAAATTTTACTTTTCTCGTTACCATTGCATGGAAAAATTGAGAATCTCGAAGATATTACGGGATAAAATTCTCTGACGCGGAATATCCGATAATTTTTTTTGTCAAATTAAAATCGAGAGTACAATTATTCTTCGATAGAACGAAAGTCGCTTCGGAAAATGTAAAGCGGATTCTAATTCGAGGAATTGTGAATTAGAAATAGAATAATGAATCGTTACGACCTTGAATAATTAATCCCTCGTGATTCCGACATTCTCTCTCTCTCTCTCTCTGTTGATATTTTCCCAATGTCTGGACTCACAGTTTTGCCAGGACGAACAGTTGGCGAAGAGATAACGCACCCGTGATAACGATGCACCATCTGTTGAAAACCGTCTAGTTATCGGGAATATCGATAATCATTCCTATCTCTCGTTATTGTAGAAAGAAAGAAAAGAAAAAAAAAAAGGAACGAAAAAAAAACACGGACAGACGAAACGTGGCGCAACGAAGGATTCCAAAACGTGGTCTCGATTCTAAAACGATCGTTTATCGATTCTTGTTGGTTGAAGACCGCGCATACCTGCGCGATAATCCGCTGTCAGAAATTACAGGCGCATTTTATTTTTCCTAAGCGAGGCGATAAGAAATTTGACGGCACGATAAGAGAGACTGCGTTGGGTCGACCTCGTTGTCGACTCGAGCCTCTTCGGCTCGTCGACAGCCAAGAGGCCAGTCTCGCGAGTTCGCGCCTCGAGAACGTGCAAAAGTGAAATTCACGGTTAATTGCGCTCTTGATCGCGATCAGAAGGAGGAATCGCGTTCGATTCCTTTCTTTTTCTTTCTTTCTTTCTTTCTTTCTTTTTTTTTCACGTTTTGGTGACCCGTGGAAGAAAGATTCGCATGACGGAGCAGCACGAGGCCATCGAATCCTGTCCGGAATCAGGACAGGACGGAGGATGGTCGAAATTCTTCGCGGTAGGTGAAGATCGGTGAAGTGAAAAATTGGAACGATTCGTATGCGAGTAGTGCGATGAAAGTTAAGATAATAAATGTTTATATGAAACGTAAAAAGTTTGCGTATGAATGAAAATTTTACTGAAAAATCGATATGCAAGGAGCGTGACGAATTAAATTCTGTGATTGTGCCGGAAATTTTGCGTCGAAGTGGAGATTTGTGAATCCAATCCTAGAAAAAGATAAAGTACAGTGAAACGACGAGTATAGGAATTATTTTTATTAGAATTCAATATCACATTGAATAATTACTTTTTACCGACCTTGATGAATTCATCCCTCGGCTATAATTTCGTCAAGTTGAAAATACTTTTATTTGTGTTATTTATCACTTTCTCTATTAAATTATTTTATACAGAAGATAGAATGAATTTTTTCGAATAACACGAATGACACAAACCGTTACGACACCGTCACACAAAGGCAACATTACGTTCTATCTTCGTAACAAGTTGTACTACCTGTTCTTTTTTATAATATGCGTGATATCGCATATAGGAATTCATATTGGAGCGTAAAAATGTGAGCGAAAGGCGAGTGCGTGAATTTTCCTTTTCAGAGATACGCGCTTCTCCATCCCGATGATCGAATCGCTCATATTCCCGCATTTTCCCAACTCGATTTTCAGAGTGGAATTTCTCGAACGTCCATCGATTCATTTAGGGATCGCGAGACAGACGTCACGATTCGATTAAGTAATCGGAATGTTTTCTGGCTTGCAGAGGATTCCGAGCTGTCCAGTGAAGAGTCCACAGCCCTTGAAGGAATTTGTGGGTCGCTGTCAGACGATGCCATCCCGAGTGAAAAAGTCCTTCTGCGGTTGCCTTCAGGTAAGAATGAGAATTGCTTCGATTAGAAACTCCATTCTAACTAGACTTTGCTGCGATTACAAATCGCTACATAATTTGTCTAGCTGGAACGCTCGAACATAAAACAAGGATCGAATAATCATTCGAATAAATTTTTATTTTATTCTTTCTTTTTTCTCTCTACGTTCCTTGACTCGAAAGTAATTTGTTTCAGGAAGTAAATATTAATCTCTCGTGTCGTTTCTAATCATTATTTCTTCCTCTCGTTTCGAAAAATATTTTAATAAAAAGGAAAAAAAATAACAAGTCACGTTCCATGTTTGATATCTCCCCGACAGAATACGTGTCATCGATAAGAACTTTCCTTTCGGCGGCACAATCTCCGCGGCAAATCCTTTCTTAATCCTCCTTCAATCATTCCGCAAACACTCTCGACACTTGTATCCTCAAATAAACAAAAAACAAAAAAGAAAAAATAAAAAAACGAACATAATTCAGTCGAAAAGATAACAATTAACAGAATCGTGTCGGTGCTAGATTTCGCGTTTACCTTAAACCGTTCTACCTCCACGTTTCCGCATTCTTCGTTCGCTCGAATCGGAGGACCGCCTCGAAACCACTTCTGCGAAACAAGATCGTCATTAGAAGTGGTTACGTAACTCAAGGTGAGATATAAATATAAACTGGAACGAGAGGCCGCGTTTTTTCTCCTCGTTTGGGATCGAGGAAAATTCGAGGATGGATCAGCTTTGAGTGAGGAGGGAGAGATGACGCCATGTTAAATTATCGTCGAAGGCACGCACACCCATAAATGATGCAAAGCATTCCCGGATGACATCTGCAATGCAAAAGCGGCGCGGTCGTGTCGAGATTCCTGCAGACTTTTCGATCCCGAAAGGGAACTCGGTTCCTCGTGACGTGTTGCTTGCAAGATTTCTAACCCGTCGAAGGAGAGACCGGTCGTTTTCTTCGTTCGCCATAAGAAGATCGCCAACATGTCGATCGAGATGGATGAGATAATTTTTGGGGAGGGAAGTTGGGGACGAAAGTGAAGGAAACGGAATGGAAAGCGTCGAAGATTAAGTCATTAGAGCCTTCTAATGAGCCTTCCTGGTTGCTTTACGAGCGCGCGTGCGCGTGCAATTATCGCGCGGGAATTATAGATCGGTCACGATCTCCTCTGAACCTGAATGCCGCCGGAAGTGGCGCTAAGAACAATACGCTGGAACGATTCTTGGCGTTACTCGACGCGTGTTTTTCCCCGCTAAAACGGCCTTGCGCGGTTCTCTCTGCCGTAGGCTATCAAAGATAAAGCCTCGTCGCAGGGGATATCCTCTTCTCTGTTTCTCCGTTTATGCCAAAACGACTATCGACAAATTAAAATTACGCGAAGAAGAGAAGAGAGAGAGAGACGAGTTTTTAGACGCCTCGCCTTATACGAATTCCGCGTAGTCATGCGACTCGTAGAGGCTCGTGTACTTCTTCAAAATAGTGGATTCCTTTTTCGATCATTCCTACCGATTCTCGATAAGCCGTAGCGGCAAATGGCTTGTTGTAAATCTGAGAAGAAGAAGAAGAAGAAGAGGAAGAAGAAGAAGAGGAGGAGGAGGAGGAAGAATAAGTTCCAATAAATCTTGGCACCAACTGAAATCAAAGCGATATATTATTCCGTCTCCGTTAAGCGATAAATAATTCAATGGCTATCGCGGGGCGTGTACGAAAAAGATGCGCAATGATGCTCGAAATACTGCGAACCAAGAGATCGCATTGTCACGGATCGTTGCATCCTCCTCATACAAATTATCCATGGGGGGAGGGGGGGAGAGTCTTTGACTGCGTGACCCGTGACGATACGGATGTCCACCCCGTGGATAGGATAGGGTCGAGAAAATCCGGCTTCCTTCTCAGAATCGATGAAGCTTGAAGGTGATCACCTTCCAACGCTCTTGCACACCTATTAAAAAGTGCATCGAAGAAGTATTACGAACGTGATTACCTTTGCGTGACGGGATGGTCATGCAACGTTTTATAGATAGAAACGTCTTGTTGCTCGAGGTACAAAGGGAGAAAATTGGGAGAAGATAAATTGGTGATACACAAGTGATTCAGTCATTTTTCATGAAAAATTGAATACTCGTCTCACTGTTTATATAACTGTTCCAAGCATCTAATAAAAAATAACGGAACATCAATGACAGCCAATTAATCGATTAACGAGCCACGATTATTTATTTCACCTCATCTTATCATACTCTTCGATTAAACGTCGGCGGGATATCCTTTGAACCATCGATCCCAAGAATCGATAGTGCGATCGCGCTATCGATAAATCGACTCATAATTCGCGTCTCGATCTTGAAAATTGAACGGCCTTCTTCCGTTCCTCCTTCTTCCTAGGAATTCACATTGTGGATAAAATATACATACGAAAGAAACTTGCTTAGTTCCAAGCCACTAGACCAGAAAGACTCGTGGAATCAACTTCTTCTTCGAGTCTTCCATATCGGTGCATCCACCTTCGGTGCAAACCTTTCTTTCGCGTTCTTTCGCGAACCTCGAGACGAGACCAGCGTCAATTCCACGGAATCGAATTAAAGAAAAAGAAGAAGAGGAGGAAAGAAAAAAAAAAAAGAAACACCTCGTGTATACCTCGTGTACTTCCACGAGGAATCCATCTCGATTCCCATCCAGTCGTCCTTGAGCGAATCCTATGACCCGTAGGATTCCATTATGCCGATCAACCCTAGCGCTGCGGGGCGTGTCCGGCGAGGAAAAGGGGAGGGTGATACACCTCGGTCGAACATAATCGCGTTTCCACCATCCTCCAAGGATTTTTGCAGTTCCCCTTTTTTTCTTCTTCTTCTTCTTCTTTTTTTTCTTTCCCATGGGCAGATCTGTCGAAGTCAGAGATCCGATGGAATGCACCCATAGATGGTAGCAAGCGGCTCGCTCGAAAGTCTCACCAACGATCGGTATCGCGTGTGAGACTCGTGGAACACGGCGTTCTTTACGTGTTTCGCGGCGACGCTTTCAATTATCGACGATGCTGGAATTTATATGCGCTTATATTCGAAGAAAACGCACGGAAATGCTGGACCATCGCCAGATTTTTCGCTATCGAGCTTGCTTCCATTTGTATCCCTATCTAGGAGACGGTTTTTAGGTCTCGCTCGTTCTTCCTTCATCGTTCCAGTTGCTCGATCTCTGCTATCTTAGCAGAGCAAGCGAGTAGAAACGAGAAGAAAACGTATTTGCAGGGAGGCGTGTGTTGAAAATTTTCTACTCGGAAATATTGATGTGTATGCATTGTATACAACCCGTAGAGAGGGACGAGAGAAAGTTGTATCTGGGATATTAAATTATATTATCGAGTTAACGTATCTCTAATTGTTATTCTCTTGTTATTTCGTAATTTCGTCCGATAAAGTTCTTATTTACGAGTTGTATTTTTCTGTCTTTCTTACCTTCTCATCTATAAAGTGAGTAAATAATAACTGTACAGTCATCCTCATACACCATCCATTTAATTAGCGAGAAAGCAGTAGAATGTTCCAAGGGATTAAGCTTCTCCGCTCGCGGTAAATTTCATCGCCAAGAAACCGAGGCGAGCAATTTTCTCGCGGGATCCCACACAAGTTTTCGACTTCAAAGTCGCTGGAAAATTTTTCTCGTGGCACAATATCTCGAGGAATCTGTTTCCAGGTTTTTCGGTTTTACGACGGTTAAATTATCCCTCTAAGCAACCTCATTCCGCCCAGTTTAGTTCGGAATTTCTCGCTCGAGCTTCGAAACGCTCCTCCTTCGAGAGAGGATTATTTGTCCCGCGATGTACACAAGCAGCTCGTAAAGAGAGGGAAAGAAGAGAGTTTGACAAGAAATTTAGTTCGCGGAATCTATTCCTCTCTTGGACGAAAAAAGAGAAAGAAAGAAAGAAAGAGAAAAAAATTATGCTAATGCCGGCGAGTTTGACGCGATCACGTTCCAGAGAATTTCTTGCTTCTGAACCACTTCAACCACGTTTATTGCGGATCCAGCCAACGCTTGTGAAGAAACATATGTACTATCCCCGTAAAGAAATACCGACGTTGTTTCCCATCGTCCACTCTAAGCCACTCTCGCAATTTCTTCTCTCGATGCAGAATAGAAACACGGACGTAATGACTTTCTTCCCCTTACCGAATTACTTCAACACCCGTTCCAACCATCCATTTTTCTCGATCTACCTATTATTTGGTATTCTTGCACCTCAAGTTTCAATCGTCTTGCCTTTACCTACTATCGATTCGATTCCATTCTCTTCTCTCCGGGTGACAACAACGAGCAATTTATTCCTGGACCATCGAAAAATGTGTCTATTCAAATCATCAAACGGGTTTCTAGATAGCGGGCTTCTAGATAGCCGTGCAACTTGACGGAGTGTAGGCAATACGTCATATTTGCAAGTCTCATTGCGCTTAATATGTTTCCGTTACTACGTTGACAGCCTACCCGACGCTGCGTGCCCACGCGCGCGTGGGTGTCCTTAAACCTGAAACGATCCGCGCGAGAAATACTTATTAGGTGGTCCGGGGAATTCGATTTTTAGACGAATAAGGAATCTTTCCTTTTTCGTTTTTATATTTCTCCTTTTTTTCGTAATCATTTCTTTTTTTTTTACCGTTTCGTAAGATGTTTTTAACTATTATGCAAGAACACGAAACGTAAAAAAAAAAAACAAATTGCATTTTATCTTTCTTTTATTTTTAGAACATTACAACACATTCGGAATAGGAGAACACGTAGAGAGATAAGTTTCAAGATTATACGTATGTAAATTCCACACATGTATATTCATTGACTTTCGTTCCTCTTGACGTAATCAAACATCTGTCTGTACGAAATTAACGTATATCCAAATAACTTTACGTACGCATATTTTATTTTCTAATCGACGGCAGGCACACGTTACATAAAAAAAAAAGAAAAAAAAAGAAAAGAAAAACCTCTCCAAACTATCTCGAGAGCAACGCGATTACGCTCGATTTATAATTGATTCGAGACGGGGCGAGATGTTAAAATTCCGAGGCTCGTCTAAGGTTAGACCCTTGAAAATTGCAAGGGGAATTATCGTCGAAACGAGTTTGCGGCACGAACGTGTGCACAACTCGATATTTCGCTTTCGTTCCGTATAGGCCGATTACGAATAAATCACATCGCGTGCAACCGATGAATAACATGGTTGCAGTAAATCGGGTCACTTTATACAGTTAACATAACGTTGCTTCCGAGATATTGCCTTGGATTACGCTTGTTATCAAGCCGCAACAGATGGAGAGAGAGAGAGAGAGAGAGAGAAGAAAAAAGAAAATATGCATATGAAACTGTAGTACACGGAACGGTATTCAGTGGTCGTTCGCATCACGCGCGGCTTCAACTTGCTTTTTACCTATATAAAAATGCTCGATCTGTAGATTGACCGTAGCCACGTTGAACTATTTGTATAATTGGAAATCGCGATCGAGTCCAAAGTTTACCATTTTTTTTTTCTAGCAATCAATTTTAGGTCAACTCGGGTAAATGACTGTACTAGAATTTTATCTTATCTCAATTTTGCATACTCTATAATTGTCACGACACTTATCCAACGAATTTCTAAATAATATACCGGTATAACGATAATCGAAGCTCCTATATTTCTCTTCTTCCCTGAAA